GCCTTCAGAAGCAACACGTTCGGCTGCAGAGGATGAAGAAGGAGATCTGGGACGAAGACCGACGGCTGAGGGATTGACACTGACGACGGCGCATTGGATATCGCCGTGGACTCGATGTCTTACGTTTTGTCTTGGATAGAAGGCCTGGATCATTCACAGCACGGACCTTCAGGTGGCCAATGATCATTGCTACTGATTTTTGACACTGTATGTTGATTGCATAACGAAGCAGATCACCAGAATGCTTCGGGGGCGTCTGCGATGCTTAATGTTTTTCCTTGCATGTTTTTGATGTTTTTCATTTATCGTTCTTTTCCTTTGTCTTGTTTATATGCATATCTGCACCACGATGTCGCTATCTCTTGGGAGTAGCGCCCGTGCATGTAAGTGGAATGATTTATTAATACTATGATGCGAACTCAGCGGCCGGACTTGTCATGGCGGCCGGGAAGCAAGGCAGCTGCAAGGAGTTAGTCCTGAGTAGGACAAACTTGCAGCAGCCTCGGGGAGGAAGAGCGGTAGAATTAAACGAGATAGGAAACCAATGAGAATACTGATTGATACGCCAGTCGTCTAGTCTCCTTGTAAGTTCACTGCAGTAAATTCAGTAAACTTATCGAAGTTCCCCGCCTTCCAACCTGTGGTGAACGAGTCAAAGTCAATGGGGAGGTGGGCCGCGAGGATTAGTAGCAGCAATCGGAGGGATCGGATGGATATGCCTGGCCTGGCAGGTGAGCGAACCCGGAGGCAGCCTGACGGAGGTACGTCCCGCTCTTCCTGCCTTAATTCTCGTGTGCGGTATTCTGGTAACGAGGGAATTGAGAACTTCAGGTCATGCACGATGCTAAATCGGGGTTGCAAGCCACTTTGCCCCTCGTGCGTGTGGCTGACATCGTGGTGCTGGCTGGGTTCTCTGCAGTTTCTTGACCCCACCACCAGTAAGGAAAGGAAAAGGAGAAAGAAAGAGTGGAGGAGCCTCGGAGAGAGGTGAGGTAGGTTAGTCAGTAGATTTCGGAGTAACTACCTCACCAACTAATGTTTCCAGGGACGCCCCATTCGTCTCCCCTCTTTTATCTACTCTTCTCTTGTCTTGTGCTCCCAACCCTAAGTCAGGTACTGAACTTGTACTCCAGTATCTTGCTCAAGGTTCAAGTTCCCAAGTGTTACCCGAAACGAAACATGCATATCTACTGAGTAGTTACATACATGGATTGTGTTTAAAATTCAATTGAGGGAAAGTTACTGAGTATGTCAACTGGAAATCTACCCCGGATCAACCCTGGATGATTGATGGACAAGCCCCGCTAATCCTGATCAGGGAACAGCCCCCCACCCGGTGCACGTGGCTGTCTCAATCATCATTCCTGTAATTCCGGTACCGTTATATTTCCGCGTCTTTTGTATTAAATACCGGTATCGTTACTGTCTGGTATGTCGGGCGGGCTTCTGGACCGACGTCATCGGTCGGTCTCTTTCGGCAGGCGGTCAGCAGCCTTAGCTGCTGGTGCTGGTGCTTTATCGGCGACCCGAACTGAACCACGAAATATTCCCCGGGGCAAAGCAAGCACCGAGACATCTCTCGCCATTTCAGCTATCATTCGTCGATCTTCAGGAGGGCCTTATTCTCCAAAACATTCACAAGTGCAGCGTGAAATACAATTGAAGGTTATCATCACCTGGCTCTGAATTGCTTTTCCATGGTGTGGGGCTCTTCTCCGGGCGAGAGTGACCGTCTTTCGAGCTGCTGCGCGTTGCGGATAGTTCTTCAACCTCCCCTCGCTCCTCCCGGTCGGCTAGCCGGTTGTCTTTGAACGGATCTTGGGGTCTCCGGCTTAGAATCTCAAAGTGTATTGCTCGCGCATCATTACAGTTACTGTCTTCACTGCTTCATCACTGGTCCCGGAGCGAAAGGCTCTTTCAATTCTGCAGGAGCTGTCCTTGATACCTCAGATTACCTTCCCATTATCATGAATCCCTCAAGAGGCCGAGGGCTGGGTCAACGAAGTCCCCATGTCCTGGTAAGTGGCCATCAGCCTTGTCGCTCTCTCTTCCGGACTTCCAGTTCCTTACGCATAAATACTTACTGTACGCTCCCTGGATACTAGGTCACCGACTCGCGCGATCAACAAACCTCCTCCCAACCCCGCCGCCGTCGCTCCCCTGCAACCCGCTTCATTACCGTCGACAACGTCCTCCAATACACCTCCGACGTGCCCTCCATGCAACAACGGTACCCGCCGCAGGGCGCCCGGACGCGGCCACGTTCCCGCATCGCATCGGCGGCCGGCGGACTGATCGGGGCCGCGGCCGGCGGAGCGAGCTCCTCCAGCGGCGGCAGCATCGGCGCAGCCAGCGGCAGTGCCGCGGCGGCGACGATCCGACGCCTCGCAGCCCAACCGCGGTTGCCGCCCCGCACCACGAAGGTCAGCGAGAAGCTCGTCCTGCTTCCCGAAGCGGACGGGAAGCTGCCAGAAGACGAGGAGGACGAAGGCGAGGAGGAGGATGAGGAGGCCGTGGACGAGGAGTTCGTGCAGCGCGTCGCCAGGGACAAGAACCTGGACCCCGAGGCGGTGCGACAGACCCTGCTCGCGCAGAAGAAGATGCGGCTGGCCGGCGCGGACTTTGGCGTGGACAACGACATCGCGCCGCTGCTGGCGGACGAGGAGCTGCTGCGCAAGCGCAAGGTCGCGCCGGAGAAGGCGAAAAGTTATGCGGAGCGTCTGCCCAAGGCGCGCCGGGCCGAGAAGCTGGCGCGGGTGACGGCCTACTGCACTGCGCAGGCGTACAAGATGAGCTCCTTGGCCTCATTTGTGAAGGAGAGGCATGGCGGCCGCACGAAGCTGTATGATGATTGTTTGTACACAGCGTATCATCTGCCGCTGTTGCCGGGCCTGGATGGGTACAGGCTGAGGAGTAGCCCCATGGTGAAGAAGCCGGGCGGGAAGTCGATCCTCGATGAGGAGATTGAGCGTAATGAGCTGCGGGATCATCACGAGGATTATCTGGTGGACGCGGAGGAGCATTCGGTTGTTGGCGGACGTCATGAACACCGGTCGTCGCATCAGCAGCGCAGTGAGGCGCAGCGACACAGGGATGAGGAAGGGCACCATCCACAACAGGAAGAACAAGAGGAGCATCGCTCCGTGCCTGGCTCCGAGGCGCAACCCTTCATGGGCGACGTCGACGGCGCTGGTCATCAAGCTCCAGCAGACGCGACGGCCGTGGCGGCACCAGTAGCCGCACGTCTGCCGTATAATGTCGCGGAGATGTTCGTGTTCAGCTACGGAGTAGTGGTGTTCTGGAACTTCACCGAGAAACAGGAGAAGGATCTCCTCGCCGATTTGGCGTTTGCAACCTCGTCCGTGACCGGGTCTCCAATCCCGTTGGCGACCTTGCCCCTGCAGGAGGAAGATTTTGAGACGGAGGAGTTTCATTTCGAGTACTCGACGGAGATTTCTCGCCCGCGCGTTTACAACGACATGATCACCCTTCGAAGCGGCGACCACATGATCAAGTTGGCCATCAGTCATGGCATCGCACAAAGCACTAAGCTCTGCTTCTTCGAAGAAGTTATGGCTCGCCAGATGGCCGAGGCCAAGGACGTCCCCCGCCGACTCGCCATGACAGGCAATCTTGGCATGAAACGAGACGAAGTGTTCCGCATCCTGGGTAGTCTGTTCAAGAGCCGCGTAGAAGTGAACCTGTGTACGTTTGTTCGCAGTTGAGCCAACCCCCTCCTTTCAAGTCACACACACTGACAACCCAAACCAGCATCCAACGTTCTCGACGTCCCCAACTTCTTCTGGGAAAGCGAACCGACCCTATATCCCCTCTATATCGCCGTGCGCGAGTACCTCGAGATCAAGCCTCGAATTCAAGTTCTGAACGAGCGCTGTAAAGTCTTCCTTGACCTGGCAGAGATTCTTTCCGACTCTATTGCCGACAACAAAACCTCCCGTAAGGCCGACCGACACCTTCCCAACCCACCCCTTGCACAATCTTCTTCCCTCCCCTTCCAGATATAAGATCGGATAATAACCTTGACAACCAAACCACAGATCAAACATGGATCATCATCGTACTCATCTGCGTCTCCATCCTCGTCACCACCTTCGAAGTCTTCCTCCGGTTCGGCCTCCTCTCCTCCCGTGAAGGAGGTGCCTCAACCAGAGCTACCACACCTATCACCTCTCTCGCAGCCAATGTCCTCGCCCGGGCCCTAGGCAGCGGTGGCAGCAGCAGCAGTAACCCCGCGTGCGTGTGCTCATGTCCCGCTCAAGTTCCCGGTAACAGCTTGATGAACACCACACCTCCAACCATGGGATCGCCTTATTAGGAACTAGAGAGAGAAAAAGACGCCAGTAAAAGAAATCCTTCTCTTGTCTCCTATCTACCTCCCCAACATGCCTCTCAATGCCCGAAAGTTAGCACTTAGGATCCCGACAACTAATCATCCAAACCTGAACCCGAACCCGAACCTCCCTGCTTACATTGTCCTGTCCTCGGTCATGTGACATCCTCCTACCCCTCTGGTACTTACTCCTGGCCCAGAAAGGCCTGAATGAATAACACTGTACATCCGAGGCAGTTTAACCCCCCAAAACCCAACACCTCGCAGCTCACGCAGGCACCATGCAGGCACGGGGGAACGGGAAGCACCAAGCCATCCCAAGAACCGTCTCTTTTCCTTCTCCCCCCATCCCTTCTTTTTCTTTCTCTTCCTCCTACATTGTTCTCTTATCGCGATAATCCATTTGATATTAATTAGGCAATCCCAGCAGGCTTTTGATTTTCGGTTCGAACTATTTGCTCTCTCTCTCACACGCAAAATCAAGCTTCATTCTTTCCACCAGGTCCATTTTCATTGTTCTCTGTGTATCGGGTTGCGATGTCGCTACCCTTCTGCTATGGTAGCTTTGTTCAAACCCTTAATCACAATCACAAAATGGAATTAAAAGAGGGATGCAGGCCTCTACATGCTGATCATTGTTTTGGCGATGATGTACTTTATGCCTTTGGGGTAAGCTAGAGGGAGGAAGTCTGCTTATGCTTATAGTACTACCAAGCTTAGATGACGTCATCGCGGGTTGTTTACGCACATCGACGGAGCAACTACAGTGACTGCAACCCTGAATGGAAGAGCGGCCCCAAGAGCAGAATAGGATGAAGTCTCGAGAACACAATTGATTATGTAGTAGTTGGCGGGGAAAGTATGTATGTATATAGTATGCTAGGCAATCGATATCTACAAATCGGGATTGATGCCGATGAGAGGAAGGGCAAGGTACGGGAAGGAGTGACAAATGAAAATGAGAATCACAACAAATGAAACACGGAAACAGGGAGGCAAAAACAAATGCGGATGAGAGGAAAATTAGGTATAAAACAATGCACATAGATGAAGGAAAAAGTCCAGATCGAAGAAGACACAAATGACACCCATAGAAACCCCATACAGCCGAGCCTTGAGCCAAATGATGAACAACCTTTTCCAACTCTATCTATGCTTCGTCCGGGTCATTTCGCCATTGGGAAAGAACAAAAAATTATCAGAATGAAAAGGGGGAAAGGGGAAACCGACAACGAGAACAATCAGCCAGGACTCCATCCAGTGCTCTTTTCCAGACCCACACTGGTGTATGCTATGATGGTGTTGCTAGCAAACCTATCAACAGAAACAAACAGATGCCAGGATGATGATGATGATGATGATGATGATGTGAAAGATGAGTGACAATGTGGGAAATGCTAGGAAATTCATCGACGCAACAAAGGAAATGTAACAAAGGAAATAGGAAAGCAAACTTGGATGTTTGACTCCACCGGTGGTAAGGTGTGCAAGTCATCCCTCTAGAGAACTCAATGGCTTCCAGTCATTTGAATGCTTCAAACATACGGCCCTGCCGTTTGTTGAAGCAACCCAGTTGACTGCCACACTAAACCGGAGTAGACCATGCGCTGTCACCCAGTCTAGGCTTCATTTCATAGTTGTCCGGTTCGGTGCTGGCGGGTCGTCTGATGGTCGAGCTGGGGAAGTACATGTGGGGAGGCATAGAGCTCGCATACGCCGCACCGCTCGGCTCAGGATAACCAAAGTCGGTAGCAGAGCCGGGGGAAGGGATGCTGGAATGAGACGGAGAAGCCCAGCCCAAGCTAGTCATATGCGGGCTACCACTGACGCTGTTGGGCCGGTGATCGTTGTTGGCAGGCGGCTCAAGAGGTTGAGGGGGCCCATAGCCCGAAGGATGCGAAGTCATTGAAGGTCGAACATGCGGAGCACTGCCATAGCTTGACAAGGAGGGCGACGTGGCCGTGGGAGAAGCTCGAGGGCTAACCTGAGGGAAGCCACCTCGGACATGAGGCGGGATGGAACCGTTGGTCATGTAGTAGTCGGAGCGGGGCATATTTAGCGGAGGCAGATCGCCAACAGGCGAAATAGGATGATGCGCTGGGGAAGGGGTCGAATGAACCGAGCCATGGTCAGAGAACATATCTCCTGAGACTCTCGCCCGCTCCTTGTTCTGCCTCAAATTGGCTTCAGTCTCAGCAGCGGCCTCTTCAATGGTACCAGTGTGGTGATTTTGATGCCGTGTCAGCGTAGTGCGGCGAGTGAACGTCTTCTGGCAATTCGCATAGGGGCACTTGTAAGGACGCTTTCCGGAGTGGATCCGGCGATGCCTAGCAAGAGACGACGAATCGCTAAAAGGCTATATATCAAGATAAAAGGTTAGCGGGTGTGGGGCGCATTGAAGAAACCACATATGCATACCTTGCCGCATCTTTCACACATGTGTGGCTTTTCGCCAGTGTGGACGCGAGCGTGCACGGTCAGGGCCGAGCGCTGAATAAATTGTTTACCGCACCCCGGCCAATCACAAGCGTGGGGTCTGATGCCCGAGTGGATGCGCTCTGAAGTGGCGTTAGAAAGTCACCAACTGCTTGACGATGGATAGGATGTGCTTACCGTGACGTGCAAGGTCACTACGACGAGCAAATCCCTTGCTGCAAGTTCCACAGTGGAAAGTCTTTGGAGGTGGATCCGGCCGTCCCTGAGGAACATTGGCTGGTAGTTGACCAGCGCCAGCGTATGCTCCGGGAATGAAGGTGTTTTGCAAAAGAGGCAAGCCTTGGTTGGGATGAGCCTGCGGTGCATAGCGCAAATCTTGCTGCATGCTCGGCATTTGACTCAGCTGAGCATGATGGGGGTACGAAAGAACCTGCTGGTCGGTCGACTCGGCGCCAGGCTCCGCCTTCATCTTTGGCGAATGATCCATACCAGGGTTCGGGACCAGGTGCGCTGGATCGAAGGGTGTGTCTGCGGCAACCATGGCGGTAGAACCTTTTCTATTTAGGATGTTTGTGATGTCCATGACCCGACCCCGCGGGGAAGTGATAAGACGGCGGTCAGGGACAGATCAGGTCTCCACGAAAGGCGTTCTGGTGCTGAGCCGTAGATTGTCTCCACGACGTTGCTCCTCGGGGTTCTAAGCGACGACTGTGACTCCGGCAGCCGTGGTATTGCGAGATGGTGGGAACAGTCCTATTGGTGCAGTATCCGAGACACCGATCGGAATCTGGTCGGATGGCTGCAGCGACACTGAAAGTCTCGAGATACTTGACAGTTGAAGCGCACTTCAACAAAATCCGAGGTTGTGTAAATCACTGAAAAGTGTGTCGCCACGTCTTTTGCCGCGAGTTTGCAAGGATTCTCAAGTCACCGGGGGTTGTTGGCCGGGGTTGCAACACGCCAATGTCGGCAGACTCGGTTTGTTTCGGCGGGTTTCAACGACAACACTCACAGCGTCTGCAGAGAGGAGGGGTATGTCGTAGTAAGAACAGCGACAAGGTAAATTGTTTCTGCACTGTGTGACAAGATTGTGAGAAGTTAGTAAGCTGCGCATAAACAACGATAATAATGTAAGATGAGATCTTCTGCGTTCGACTGGACCAGCTTTTCCGACATTCTTCGCAGGACGCGCAAGTGATTGGATCTCGTCATGTTATTTTTTTGTGGTTTTTCTTTTTCTTTTCGCGCAGGCAAGTTGATATTGAACCAACAACAACATTGCGCGCCAAACCAGAAAAAGAAATTGCAACAGAAGACGATGCGCCAACGAGAACACCCACTCCGCAAAAGCAAAGAGGGGCAAGCGCCCGTTCCGAAAATATGCGCCTGAGGACCGGCTTGTAGAGTGCGCCTGGGAGAGATCCCCTCCTCAGGAAAGGCGGCGAAGGGAAATTGGTGGTGGGCGGAGCGCGATTCGAGCGCACGGAGAGGAACTTACAGAGAAAGAGAAAACTGGCTGACAGATTTGCAAGTGGGATTAAGCACAGCTCGTTACCAGCAAACACTGCGCACTGAAGCAGGGGATCGTCGGGAGATCCGTGGGCGTCAAACAAATGCACCCAAAGGTGTTCTTCGACGGAGCTTCTCGGGGATATTCTAGGAGCTGAAGGGAGGAATCGGAGACGATCGCACCACCGCAAATGGGATTCACGCAGGAATGACCACGGAAACCTGAGGAAATGAAGAGGGTGTTGGGGTATTGGTTGGGAGAGTTGAACTGGAGGGGGAAAAACAAAAAGAAAATGTCAGTTTGGTTTCGGATCAGAGAATGACAGGAGACGAGAGGCAAAGGAAGGAATAAAGTACCAGGCAGGCAGACAGGCGCAGGCAGGCGATGTCAGGTTGATGAAGTAAAGAAGAAGAAGACGAAGAACAGTGGAGGAGATGTAATGAATCGGTAAGGAAGAGTATCAGGTTGGTATCGAATATACAGCAGCACCCGAAACTTTCTATCGCTATTTCGTTCTTCTTGCCTTTTCGATTTCTTCTGGAGTATTTTCTTCTCTGCTCTTTCGCTTTTTCCTTTTCTCTCTCTCTCTCTAAGAGTAAACGCGGCGCGTGGCTCTCTTTTCTTATTTATTTGCTACTCGAAGACATTCCTTTTCTCCCCCAGGCAGACCCGGTAGTTTAGCTTAGCTGGTTTAGTTACCTAGTTAAAATTAATGTTTCTTATTATTAGTAGTTGCTCCTAGTGCCCGGTAGTAACAATGAATTGGGAATATTCATAACAATATTTTTTTTAATTCTCTTTATTTTCATTATATTTGATTTTCCCGATTTCCCTTGGGATTAGTCGGACTAAGCCCTGTTAGTCGGAGACTACCACTTTACACGTTTCCACTGCGTGCCCCAAGTGGCTCCAGTGAACTCTCACGCCCGAAGAAGCTGGCGGCACCAGAAGGTCACCGTCAGCGCTCGGCTCCACAACGTGGCTTTCATTTCTCCTGGCCGTGCGAGAGGGAGAGTACCGTACGGAGTACTAAGCACTAAATTATGTACTCGGTACTATACTCAGTCAAACTATCGAGGGAAAATCCGCGCTGCCACTCGCACTCCTCCTTCTTTTCCTCCTCCTGATGGTGGTGGGGTGGTACGGATTGATGCCGATCCATAGGGACTATGGGGAATGGAATACGGGTAGACCGTGGTGATGTTACCGTTCATATTCGCAGTTTTATGGTTTGTTGTTTGAGTGGATTGATAGATTCATTGATTGAGAGCTTCCCATGGTCATTCATTTGACCTTTCTCCGGCACATCTATGTTTATGTTAATCTCCTCATCCATCTGCTCTGTCCCCTCCCCGAATCTCCTGGTCGCGCCATGATGCTGGTTGTTCCTGGCGGAAACAGGAACCGTGTCGGACAACGCGCCTTGCTCAGGAGATTTCGACCCGCTAGTAAGATAGAGCAGCCATCATCATGGACCTATACTCTAGCAAGTATACAATTAACGTAGAGGTCAAGGTGTTCCTTTCCCACCCCCCTCCCCTTACCCCTCCTCCCATCTTCCCCTCTTTGATCGTGCATGAAATCGAGGCTAGGAACTAGACCGGTGACCGCATCACTGTCTCGGAAGCTTAAGTGCTGCTTACCCCAGGGCCAGTCCTCAAGGGGCCTCTTTCTGCCCCTTCCCCCACTCTCCCTCCCCTGGTAGGAGTTCCTGCAGGTGATGACGCCTTCACAGGGGGGGAGGAGGAGAAGGAGGAGGGAAGATGGTTCAACTTGAACAGGTGACCATGTAGGTATCGTGCAACCTGCACAAGTGTCCCAGTTCAAGTTTTTGGCCGCGATCAGGCATCAAGCCGCGTGAAACGTTCGCCTAGGATCGATCATTTCTGGCATGGTACCTAATAGAACCTACCCTCCTGTTCTGAGGTCATCATCATCGCCATGGGTTGTTATCTGGGCCCCTGGGGTCGGACAAGACAGTTGTCGGTCGGGAGAATCTCGACTCTCCTCATTCGCCGACAGCCCTCCTGGCTGGAAATTTCAGGACAATCTTGTGCTGGAGCTAGATCGGAAGAAGGAGCCAGATTACGAACAGGAAAAATAACCGTGGCGGGCGACTGACCCCAGGCGATCCGGCTCTTCGACGGGACGGAGAATAATAATAATAATACGGTACGTAGGGAATTCCAGTTGAATTTCGATTTCCCCCCTTTCGGGAGAGGGTCCTAAACCTGGCCTGTGATTACGGCAGAGCAACGGTTTGAAAGTTAATTTCCTTCTAGAAAGTTTCGAATGATGAGATGGGGGGTGGTGCCGTGGTGTGGGAAGAAAGAAAAAAAGGGATCGGGCATGGTTCCCAGATTGGCAGATTAAGCCCAGAGGGAGCTTTGAACACACCATTGCCTGGTTCAAGACAGTTCTCCCCACTTTCATCGCCGTCGTCCGGCCGCAGCTGCAGGGACAGGTCGCCCTGGACCTCTCAGCGATCTGCATGTCACGTAGGACCGCATGCTGACTGTCGCGGCAGTGGGAGAGGCGATGACCACACACAAACACTGCACATACACACACGCGCCAAGGTGGGCTAGCTGGTAACCGCAAAAGCAGAGCTCAATGGGGCTTCTTCATAATAGTCGCAGTGGGTTTAGGTTAAGGAGTGCGGTCAAAGGACGAAAATGAATATAATAATAATAATAATGAAAGGAAACGGAATAGCAACTGATGGGCCGTGGAGTAAAAGTCGACGACTCAGCAGGTTGTCTTTCCTGTTACTGTGTAGTTCCTGCGACTAGTCGCCTAGTCCGCCTTGCTAGTTGTTGACGGACCTGACGGAAGCAGCAGCGAGGCGACTTTCAGTGTTCCAGTTCCAGTTCCAGTTTCCACTGCACAATACGTACTCAGCTGTACTTCCCTCCTCCTTTTCCGGGTCTCCGATTCGGTCCATTATTTCTCGCTTCCCGATAGACCTGATGATGGTGATGATAATGATGATGATGCTTCTATTTCCTCATTCTTCTTTTTTTTTTATTATTCGAACGGGGTCAATTCCTAACACCAGTCGTAACCTTGATGCAAGACCTATCAATCCCCCGGATCATGGATGGCTTTACCCTCTCCTTGAGTCAACTTCTCCTTTCCCCTTCTTGACCCTGACCTGTGTTTTTCTTTTCCCTTGTGCAGAAAGTGGCTCCACTACGAGACACACTACTGGATCACCAGTATCGCACCAAGACCAATCCGGCCAATGGAGGAAAAGTGCCAAGGGGGGACGGGCTTCCGTTGAGCTTCTAGAAGAAGTCGGAAGGGGGGGGGGCATGGAAGGTCAGGAAGGCTTCTAGAGGCCTTTCTTCCCATGTGCCAGTGCGGCTGCGTCACCCACCTTCAATGCCGGTAAGTGGCCGGTGGGTGGCCATGTCTTTTTCTCCTGACGCCCGTGTCACATCCCTGTCTGGGGTCCAAATCTTCTGTTCGGATGTGTATGCGTGTGTGCGTTTGTATTTATGACTTCGGGACAAGCGCGAATTGTCAGAAACGTTCCTATACTCTCTATGTCTTCACTACAGAATCAAAGACGCGGGAGACGGAGAAACTCAGCAGAGAAGAATTATGCGCTGGTCAGAGTGTCATCCTAATCACCCTAGGCGAACCAAAGAATGGGATTATTATCATGATCACGACCCGTCCGCATCGTCATCGTTGCCGGTCATCCCTGCAGCGTCCGTGTTGGCCGTGGATCAGAATGAAAATGATTTCCTGGGCCCCACGCTTGTCTTCCCGTCTCGGGGCGTTGGGCCACCGTAAGTTACTGGTGGTTTTTTTTGCTTTCCTATTAAATGATATTCGTGTTTCCATCGCAATCTCGCAGATCGCCCTGTCGCCTTTCCTAAATCGAGGTCTTTGTTTCCTTCGACTTGGCACACGTAAGGCAATGAGACTCAGGGAGTCAGGGGTGCTCGGAGTTTTGACAAGGGGGAGGGGAGGAAGGTAGAATGGAATCGATTGAGGAGTGTTCCGTAGCATGACGTTCTCTGCCGTTTCAATTAATTAAAGCAATTCTTGCAGTTGTAACAGGGGGGGAATCAATCAGAAGGCAGTACGATTGGATGAGCGGGCTCAACTCCATTGCGACTGGTCGGTTGGGGTTTCATCTGCTGGTTTGAAGTGCGCCAACTGCGCTCCAGGCTTTTCCACTGCACTGCCTAAAGCAGAATAGGGGGGAACTCCATGGTGGCTGGGAGCCTGGGAGCGATGAGGTATGCGTCT